TTCTTCTTCCATCTTCCAGCTTAACAAACATTTATAAAGTTTCTTAATCAAGTTCTCATCTGTTTTTAAAAGTATTTTGTCAAGTGGAGTCTGCTTTTATAAAATCCCGTTGATTTTATATCTTTTTCATATCTTGTTTGGATTTGCAAATAAGACCACCATGTTAAGTCAATACCTTGTTGTTGAAGAACTTGCCTGTCTTTACGTTTTCCATCTTTATCCAAGATATCTTTATAGCTAACAAGTTTATCATAATTAATCAAGTTCGGATAAGCAAATGCTTCCATTGTTGAAAGCCACTCAGGTATTTTCATATACATTTTGTGTCTGATTCTCTCCCATTCTGAAATCAATACATTTCTTATGGCATGGTTTTGAAAGTATTTATGTGCTTTAGTTTTCTCATACCATAAGAAGGTGTGCCAACCTAGTTGGAGGTCATGTCCCTCTAAGTAAAGAAGTCGTTTATTTCTCAATGTAATCCATTCTTTAAGCCAAAGCGAAATAGCTGCTTGATAATAAAGTCTCCAGTCCGGGAGTCCAAAGCCCCCTCTGTCTTTAGAGTCTTGTAAAAGTTTACATTTGATTCTTGCTTTCTTTCTTTGCCATATAAATCTTAATATTATTGTATTTAGGTCGTCAAAACATTTATTGCGCAGTTTAACAGGAACTATTTGAAATAAAAAAATCAGCTTTGGTAAAATATTCATCTTGACAGTCGCTATTCCTAGCAGTGATAGTTGAAGATTTCCCCACTTTTCCAAATCTGCTTTTATTTGTTTTATTAATCTCTCATAGTTGTCCTCTTTTAGTGTTGTATATTTTGCTGTTAGGTAGATACCTAGGTATTTAACTTTTTTTACTATTTGAAGATTTGTCTTTTTGGCAAGTTGGATTTTCTGTTTATCAGTTAGATTTTTTGTTAAAACTTTAGTCTTTTCCCTATTTATTTTCAGTCCAGCCACTTCTCCAAATTTCTCTATTTTCTGTAAAAGTTTAGGAGCTGTTTCCAACGGCTCCTCTAAAATAAAAACCAGATCATCCGCAAAAGCCTGTAATTTATATTTCTAGTCTTTAATATCTAAACCTTTAATTTCCCTGTCTTGTCTAATATTTCTAGTCAATACCTCCAATGTAAGAATAAATAGCAAGGGAGAGAGTGGACATTCTTGTCTCATGCCTTTTTAAATATCAAATCCATCTGTATAATCTCCATTTAAAAGTATTCTTACTGTTTGTTTCTTATAAATTGCTTGAATTGCTTTAATAAAGTTTTCACCAAAATCCATTTCCTGTAGCTGTTGGAACATAAATTGCCAATTTATATTATCAAAAGCTTTTTGTGCATCAAGGAATATAAATGCCATCTGATTCCCTGGATGATTTTCATAATATTCCAAAGCATTTAAAATAATCCTTAAATTGTTCTTTATCTGTCTTTTTGGGAGGAAGCAATTTTGATCTGAGTGAATAGATTCATTTAGAAAAGTTTTCATTCTTTCTGCCATTATTGCAGCAAAAATTTTATAGTCCACATTTAATAACAATATTGGTCTATAATTTTTAATTTGTGTAAGATCAGTGTCTTTTTTGGGTATCAAGGTGATATTAGCTTCAGTCCATGAATTCTGTATTTTTGTCTGTATAAAATTTCATTATACAAGTCTTTCAAAATTGGAATTAGAGTATCTTGTAGGGGTACGTAAAATTCTACAGGTAATCCATCAGGCCCCGGTGTTTTGTCTTTCTTTTGTCTTTTTATTGCCTCTGTAATCTCCATCATTGCTATCTTCTCATTTAACCTCTGTTGAATGTTCTCAGGAACCTTTGGGAGCTTTGCTTCTTTTAAATAATCCTGAATTGCCTCTTTAGAAATCACCTCTGCCTTATAAAGTGTCTCAAAATACGCCTTAGTGATTTTTTTCATTACATCACTATGACAATGTAATTCTTCCTTTGAGTCCTGTAGTTTACTTATTAATCTTTTTTCTCTTTTTTTTCTCAATCTATATGCAAGCCATCTTCCCGGTTTATTAGCGTTTTCAAAAAAGTTCTGTTTAGCTCGTTTAATCTGTTGTGCCCTTGTATCCATCTCAAGTAAGTTTAATTTGTGTTTTATTAATTCCATTTGTGTCTTCTAATTTTTCTTTTGTGGATCAATTTGTAGCTCAAATTCCAGAATACTAAGCTGTTCTTTCAATCTGCACTGTGTTTGTCTCTTTTCTTTGTTCTTTTTGGCAGCATAAGTGATAACCAAACCTCTAAAGTATGCTTTTGCCGTATCCCATACATTTTGAATAGAAGTTTCTTCTTTTTCATTAATTTTAAAGAAAAAGTCCATTTCTTTTGTTGCTAATTGTAAGAATTCTTTTTCTTTCAATATCGATTTATTCAAGAACCATCTTAATCTCTTTCTAGCTCCTTTCCAGGTCATTTTAATTGAATTGTGATCTGCCCAAATATTTGGTTCTATTTCAACTTCTTGTATCATAGTCTTCAGATCATAAGAAATCCATATCATATCAATTCTTGACCATGATTTATGTCTTATTGGAGTAAAAGGTATATTGTGCTTTTTCTGGATTCATTTCTCTCCATATATCCTGTAGACAAAGTTCGTCTTTCATTTTTAAAAAGGGTTTAGGTACGATATTACTTCCTTTTTTCCCTTGTTTATGACTTTTGTAATCTCGTACTGCATCAGCAATTGCATTAAAGTCTCCAAGTATACAAAGGTTATGATAATTTAAGTCCACAAGTTTATCATATAATTGCTGGAAAAATTGATCTTGTTTCTCATTGGGAGCATATATTGCAACCATCAATATTTGTTTTTGATTCCATGTAATTTCCATCATTAATATTCTTCCCTCTTCATCGACATAGATTTGTTTTGGGTTCATCTTTTCTTTTATGTATAGAGCTATCCCTCTTTTCTTTTGTAGTGCCAAAGAAGAATAGAGTTTACCTAACTTTGGTTGTTCTAAAGTTCTAGAGTGTTGTCTCTTAATATGTGTCTCTTGGAGACATATTATGTCCATTTTTAACTTTTGTAACCTATGAAATGTTTTACTCCTTTTTGATGGGGAGTTAAGACCATTTATGTTTATTGAAAATATTCCAATTTCCTCCATGATTTCAATTATATCGGGACCTCAGTCTTCTAGGAGAACTTGTCTGTCTCTGATCTTTGGGTCTAACATCTTCCTCTGATTGGGTCTTTTTAGGTACTTTCTCCTCCGCTTGCTTTGATGTTTCTGCAGCAGTCGTTCCCTCTGATTTCTTAGGCTCCGCATCACCTTTTTCCAGGAAGGCTCTATGGTTGTTGAAAAATTCCTCTGCTTGACATGGAGTATCCAATCTATATCTTTTCGAGTCCCAAAAGATTAATAATCTTCTGGGATTAGTCATCTAAAATTCACTCCTTTGCTGTCCAATTTCCTTGTTAGAAATTGATATTCTCTTCGTACTTCTCTTATTCTTCTAGGAATCTGTTTAAGAACTACAAGTTCTTTGTCTTTATATTTCAGCAGTTGATCCCTTACTGCTCTTAGGATCTCATCTTGTATGGCTCCTTTGAGGAATCTAACGTGGACCTCCCTGGGCACTCTATT